CAGAATTGAATGCTGATTCTAACCATACATTTTTTTTTCAAAAATATTAGGGAATGAAAAATGGCCTTACCGCCACTTGTCCTTTATCCAAATCCGTTAAGTAGAAGTTGAGATATGAGTGTTTTCGTATTCGGAGTGCAACCGTACAGTACCGGGGCAATTCACCCATATATATGTATTGATTAGATTAATATACTATTAAATACATTTTTGTTGTTTTAGGATAATTATTGAAGAGCTTAAAAGCATGAGCAGAGAATTATGAAACATACGCATCATTATGAATTGAATTCCAATCTATAGTATTGACTGCCGGCGAGTCTCTTTAAATAAACAAATTATTTATAAATAAACTTATATTTTATTATCATACTCATATAAAGATTCTAAACGTCGTGCTTCTTGTTTAGGCAAAGGTTGAACAACAGTACGTGATCGAGAAATTCGATGTGGATGTTTTGTTTGATGAGTACTTTCCATTACTTATATCTATAAATATATTTTCATCTAATAAACAACAAAACAACCATTATTTGATCTATGACACGTGTATTTATCAATGTCAAATGTAAGGCGCACTCAATGCAAACTTTCCGTACATTTTTTTTCAATCGTTTTTCATGGTCGAATAGAGCATATTGAGTTACCTAGGAAAAGTATTTAAGCTGTGGATAGCAGGTTTTTCAAGAAAAACTTTCAAAAATCTCGGATTTTAGATTTCACCCCAAAGAATGATTGTCTTTTTTTATACATACATATAAACAAAAATTTTTTTCATTCCATGCAACTTCATAAATATTTCTTTCTAAATCGTTACACAAACTGAGTCAGCAAAAAGGTTTAAATTGGTTTTGTTCGACTCAATTTTGTGTGATGAATCAGGAGCAAATATTTATAAAGTTAGACAGAATCAAAAAAAAATTGTATCTCCGTATTTATGAAAAACTAGCGTTTTTTTGCGATAAAATCTAAAATTCGAGGTTTTTCAAATTTTTTCTTGACAAAACTTCTGTCGAAAATAAGTCAAGCCTACCTTCTTGTGGTGTCTTCTAGGTCACTCCAATGAGCCTCTGCAAATCTTATCATGATGTACACACCAACGAACCGTTGTACCTATCCCGGATGAGGGATACCGGAGGTACATTTCTGAAGCCAGGCTTGGGGGTGGAATTATGCGCGCGTCTAGTGGTTGACCGAACATTAAGATCCGTAGGCCAACCGGGATTAACCCGAAAAAGTTACAGGAGCTCACATTGGAAAAGCAGAAAGATGCTAGTGATGGACTCGACAATTGTCCTGGCAGGGATCAGAAGGTAGGGTGTTGACACAATGACAAATTCAGTAGAAACTTAAGTCAAAATCGACAATGACAACAGAAACTATAGATAGGAGCATGGATTGTAACGCCGTTCACGAGCAAATACTATGAATTGATGCAGGAGACGGTAAGATACCGGCTAGATATAGTCAGAGTCCCATCTACTAATCGAAGGAGAAACAGAGCATTGGTCGTAGGGAACGAATGACAGCTTTTCTACTGTGGAGTCTACTCATCACTTCATCCTCAGACGGGAATGGAGGTACTTATAAGCTCCCGGATAGCTGAAGGAGTTGTTGAACGGAGACCAGTTAGTTGAAGAGTCGCACTCTTAAGACTCAAACTGAAAGAGAGAGTGTAGGTGTTGGTGTGGGTGTGGGTGCTTCCCTGTCCGTAAACAATCACATTCACACTCACACTTCACACCCACACCCACACCCACACCCACACCCTGATGAGGCAGTTCACTGCAACTTTGAGGCAGCGTCGAGTGGAGTCAACTAGGTTGAACCACTATGTGGCCAGAGGAGGATTGCTTGATGAAATGAAGAAGTTCGTGGTGCCATTGTTGAGAAGAAAGCTGCTTACCATTCCTGGATAGGACAGCAAACGGCGAAAACTCGGCAGAGGTACCAACACGCAAGGGATATAGTAAATGAGGTCATGATCAAAACGAAGGCAACCTCTTGGGAGAATTTTGGACATCGACGGGAGTCTGACTATGATTTGGTTGACAAAGTATTTTGGCAGATCATTTGCCGTCTTGGAAAGGATGGATGTTTAGCTATCCGATCGATAAAGGATGCCTCTGGTTGCCTGCCATCACACGAGAAAGATATTCTCAACAAATGGGGAGAATATTTTGCTGAGTTCTGCAATTCATCTTCTGGTAGACGTGATTACTTAGTGATACGCGAATAGATGAAGCTGGTGATATCTCAGCGAAAGTAGAAACGGCTTTAAGAACTCTAATTTCTAGGAAAACTGCTCGTGTGAACGAAATAAGACTTGAAATGCTAAAATCACTCATAAAGAAACATATCCAACTGTCAGACGACGTGAAGCCCATATTTTGGCTATATGCTTGGATCCAATGAGATTACGAAAACCCTAAAAGGTTTCGAGCCCATGGCATACCTGGGCGGATATTTGATTGCCACATAGATGCAAGGAAATGGGATTTTTTAACCTTTTTTTCGACTTTTTTTCTTTATTCCAAGAAGTTGATATCTAAAATTTTCCATATACAATTTTTATTTGATATTGAGGAACTAGCCTCACAAAAACAAATAAAAATTCTACATAGAAAATTTCAGATACCAGTTTTTTGGAGCAAAGAAAAAAATCGAAAAAAGAGTAAAAAAATTCCATTTCCTTACTTCTATGCGGCAATCAAATCTCTGCCCAGGTATGCCATGGGTACAAATCCTTTTAGGGTTTTCTTGGTCTCACTGCGTCCAACTCATAGCCAACATATGGATTCCACGTCGTCTGACAGTTGGATATATTTCCTCGTCAGTCGTAGTGGTATCCAGTGGCTCACTCAGGTGTTCCGAGTTATCCGAAGGAAGAGAAGAGCACCAGCAGACTGGCAGAATGGAATTGTTATCTCTATTTTCAAAAAGGGATCAGAGGAATTCCTCTACTAAGCCTTGCTGGTAAAGTTTACGTGAAGGTTTTGGAATGAAAATGTCGGACGATAATGGAACCTAAGATCCAGGACTGGCAATATGGCTTTCAAGCGGAACGAAGAACAACTAATCAGTTGTTCACATTCCGTGAAGTCTTTGAGCAGTTCTGAGCGTTCACTCAACCAGTTTATATCGAATTCATTGACTTAGAGAAGGCTTTCCATTGGATCCCTCGAGACTTGCTATGGAGTGTATTACGTGAGTATAGGATCAATGGCCACCTTCTGGCAGCTATGCAATCCTTGTATAATTATTGTAAAAGTTGTGTCCGCGTACACGACAGCAAGTCAGAGTGGTTTCGAGTCCGCGTTGGAATTTAACAGGGCTGTGTTTTCTTTCCACTCCTGTTCATAATCTGTATCGACAGAATAGGTAGGAGCAAGTTTACTCTCGACTATATCAAGATAGGTGGTCTAAGAGTTGAGTCCCTGCTCTTTGCAGATGATATAGCTCAGTTGACATCCTCTGCTGCTGAGCTCTAACGTGCTTTGGATCTGTTTGTAGCTGAGTGTTCATCTAGTGGGATGCGGATCAGTACGAAGAAAACAGAAGTAATGATCCTCTCGAGACAAACAGAGAAGTGCTCTTTACATGTTAGTGAAGCCCCATTGCAACAAGTGAGGAAGTCTAAATATATTGGAGTTAAATTCGCGAATGACGGGAAACAGGCCGACGAAATAGACTGACGTATTGGCACAGCCAGTGTAGTGTTGCGCTCACTGTACTAATCGGTTGTAACTAAAAAGGAAGCCATTTTAAAGACTCAGATTGCGATTTCCAACTCAGTCTATCGTCCTAACTTCATCTATGATTACGATCAATGAGTAATGATCGAAAAGAAATTCGATTCCGAATACATACAGCCAAAATGAGATTCATCAGAAGAGCAGCGAGCTGTACACTTCGTGATAAAGTTCGCAGTTCGTCCATTCGGAAGTCTCTTCAAGTTGAGTCGATACTTCTTCATATCGACAGATCATAACTGCGTTGGTTAGATCACGTCTTGAGAATAGCACATAAAAGGCTTGCTTATCACGTTTTGCAAGCTATGCGTGAAGGGAAAAGACTAGGGAACCGTCCACAGATGAGTTGGCGCAGTGACATCATGCGTCTATGAAATGCACGATTGAGACTTTCATGGATCGAAGTTATTCCAGCGGCGGAGGATCTGGATCAGCGGAAGAGTTTACTGAATGAACTTAAACTCCTTACCTGAAAGAAAAATGGAAAAAGAAAATGAATGAATCAATGAAACCTTCTATCGAAAATTGCAGAGACACTTTTTCCTAAATAACTCAATGTCCTCTATCCGACCGGGCAACAAAAGGTGAACAAAAAGGTATGGAAGTTTTATATTGTGCGCACTTTTCAAAGAATGGAAAAAAACGTCAAATAAGCATGTCATCCTGTAACGCAATTTGTTATCTTAAGTATAAGAAAACCTCTAAATTCTTGATATCGTTTGTCATCGTCATAATGACTTATTTTTTGATATTGTATGATGGTGCACACGAAGATAAAATGTGTTGGATGTGCCGAACTTTGTGACACAACATACGAAAGATTAAAGTACGACACGTGGTACTCATTGCGATACATTTCTTCCAGCCAACCTGCGACACTTGCAACACATTCTAAACACGGGATTCGAATATCTTTCGTAGTGTTTATCACTTCTTCTGTGGAAGCAAATCATTTTTACTTCTTATTTTAATTTGAATTAGTAACACCTATTCTTGAAGCTTGAGACGGTAAGATCTTAAGATCACGCCGCCTCGAGTCGATTTGATCTCGATCAGACTGTTTCGAGACAGCCTGTTCTCGATCATCTAGCGACCCCTTTACTTGTTCTTGAAAAAATATTAATCAAGAAATAATCCTGAAAGAGAGATGTGCAAAAATTCTGTGCTCAACTGAGTCAGTTATATTATATATAGCTGGAATCGTAAAACAAAACTGTGAATGGATAGTTAGCCATCAGACTACAACACATCTAGAATACGGCACATCATGGATGCGACACATTTTTTTTTGATAGATTCTACGACACTCATTTGCAACCTATAAACACGGCACATTTTATTTTTGTGTGCAAATAGCTTTATGTGAAAATAATCTGGTTCAAGTTGATGATTCAGTTGCATGTCATTAAAGAGAATATAAGAAAATATCCCAAATAGGATATTCGTACTACTTTTGCACTCTCTAAGGAAATATCATTAAGTGATTATTTTTCAAAATACTGAGTGATATTTATAACACATTTAGAAGAATCTTTTGAAGGAGTTGATTTCGAACAAACAATAAATGCTGTTGGTATCGCCACTTTATACTCGAAAATATGCTATACAATTTGTAGTTTCCGAAAAAAATGCAAATGTTGAATAGGTCTTATTTCTAGTATCGTAGGAACTTTTGAATCCGATGATTATCAGTGTCAGCTACCTACAAATTGAGTTGACTGACAAGTG